CGAGCGCACGCGCCCTATAGCAAAAAAAAAAAAAAAGCTTGTCTGCTCTTGGTCTTCTAGGAGCCTTTGGGACTTTGGGAGTTGGTGCGGGATTTGCACTCGGGGCCAAGCTGTGCCAGCCAGATGCCGAGGTGAGGTGCTGGAGGTGGGAGGCTTGCTGCTCTTTGGACCATGAGCCCTTCTAAGTGTCTTGGCTCCCCTCCCACAGATCTGGTGCCTGTTCGGTGATGGAGCCTTTGGTTACAGCCTCATTGAGTTTGACACGTTCGTCAGACACAAGGTAACTGGGCTGCCCTGAGGGACACTACAGACCTGGGGTTCTGGGAGATGTCTTCAGGGCCGGGCTGGGGTTAGGAGGAAGCCTCCATTGTCAGCCAGAGGCTCTATCCTCACCTGTCCTCGGGCTGGCCAAGTCTTGGGGCTGGGGCTGAGGTCTGGCCTTCCTTTCTTTCTGCAGGTCCCGGTGGTGGCCTTGGTAGGGAATGATGCCGGTTGGACCCAGATTTCTCGGGAGCAGGTGCCTTCTCTGGGCAGCAACGTGGCCTGTGGCCTGGCCTATACTGGTAAGAGGCCTTGGTGGGCTGAGGAAGCCAGGAGGCCATGTTCCTCTTTCAGGCGGGGTGCATTGTGGGCTGGGTCGCTGCCACCATCTGACTTGACCTCTTCCTTTTTCAGATTATCACAAGGCAGCCATGGGGCTGGGGGCCCGGGGCCTGCTACTGTCACGTGAGAATGAGGAGCAGGTGGTCAGTGTGTTGCATGATGCTCAGCAGCAGTGCCAGGACGGCCACCCAGTGGTGGTGAACATCCTCATTGGGAGGACGGACTTCCGGGATGGCTCCATCGCCGTGTAGCTCCTCGTGAGTCAGGACGCCTGGGTTTCCTTCCCTTCACCTGTGTGCAGCTGCTTTGGAGTTGCATCCTTGCCCAACGGCCTAGCTTGTGAGGCCCAAAGACTCCATAGCCTTTTCTGAGGAGGAGATGGAAGACTCACAGCTCAGAGAGGTGTCCTCACAGCCCTGGAGGACTCTTGAGAATTTTTTTTTTTTCATTGCCAGAGGGTGCATGTGCTAGCCAGACAGAAAGCACCCCCCAAGGCAGTGTGGTCACACTGCAATCCATTCTCCTCCATTTCTCCATCTTGGGATTTGGGGCGTTTGCCCTTGAGTAACCGGGACCAGGATTTGAATCACGTGGTTGGACATGTGGGACCCAGCTACCTTAACCACGAGGCCACAAGGTGGGCCCTTTTGGATTTTTTTCTCCACTGGCTCAACTCTGCCCTTCTCCCCTCCTCTCTTAAGACTTAATAAACCACCTCTGGGCCAAGTGGGCCCAAGGACTGAGTCCCCAAATCTGTGCATATTGATTTATTGTCTGCAAAGATGGAGGTGAGGAAAAGAGGGAGACAGGAGGGCATCCTACTCTCCTGCTGGAACTCCGGGGCCCACTGAGGCATCATGACTGGGGATTTTAGGAGTGCCTGGGTTCTGCATTCTTTCCTCCCTCTGTGGGCCCCGAAAGAATCACCCCCACCCCCCACCTGTTCCAGATGTGTCCACACACACGGTCCTCACACACAGACACACATGCACGGGGACAATAAATATATTCCGTACCAAAGTGTCCCCAGCCTGACTTCAGGTGGGGCCCCTCGGGAAGGGAGGGGTTAAGTGCTCAGTTTTTTCAGGAATGGGGTGGGGGAGCCGGGGAGAGGAGGGTCAGACTCCAATGGCCGTATGGAGATTGCTGGTTGGAGAAGCCAATCATGGGGTCTTCCCTGGAAAATGAGGGTGGGGAAACCTGGCTGTTCTTCTAGAAGCCCCAGGCTGCTCCTATGCAGTGAGAGCCCAGGATAGGGGCTACCCAACCCCCCCCCAAAAAATGGCACCTCATGATAGTCCTTGGGTCCTCCGAGGGAGGGCTAAACAGTGCAGTGCTCAGAGTGAATACTGTTTTGGTTGGCAGCAGCAAGGGGGCTGACTAGGGGGTGTCTCATCACCCCAGGGGGTTGCTCACAGTAACTGGTGTTTCCCCAAAGGGGATGGCAAGAGAGGCCAGCTTAGCAAGCGGGAGAAGTTGTCGCCTTCGGCCAGCAAGAAGAGACACCCTTGGTGCTCAGGGAAGATGGTCACAACTGCTGGTTCCTAAGATCTGCGGTGCCCGGGCCTTGGTAACCAGCGCCCATCTGAGCACCTGAAACAGGAATGAGCCTCAGTGTGGGTGAGCTGGTCCCTTGGCAACTCCCTAGCAACCAGGACCTCCGCCTGGCCCTCTGACATCGGGGCAATGCCTCGGCCACCAGGAACCGGGCCCTGCCGGCTCACAGGTACACATTGATCTGCTTGGAGAGCTCTCTCTCCAGATCCAGAATAAGGGCGTCAAAATCTTTGAGATTCAGGTGTGGGTTGAAAGGGGCGTCGAAGTCGTCGTCGTCGAAGTCCGCAGCGCCCCTTGACTCGCCCGCCTCCTCGTCGTCGTCCTCGCTATCGCTACCCGTCACATGGTCGTAGTCAGGTCCGGACAGGAAGTCCCGCCCACACGGCAGGAAGTCCCGCCCACAAACGCTCCAGTCGCCAGCGTAGCGGTTGCTTGGGGGGCTCTCGGGACCTCCCCTGCCGCGGGGCCGAGTCACCACTTCGGGGCTCCCTAACGGCAAGTGCAGTGAAGGCTGTCGCTTGGGCCGCAAGTACGGAGCCAAATCTGGAGCCTCTGGGGGCCGGCGTGGATCTGAGGAAGGATAGGGATGTTCTAGGATGACGTCGCGCACAGCCCGGGGCAGCTAGGCTTTTCATTGGTAGTTTAGGTAATCGGGCCTCTGATTGGCTTGTGGAAAGCAAGGCTTTTGCCGGATTGGATTTCATTGGCTGAGATAGAATTGGTTGCTTAGGCAGCCGGGCTTTTTGATTGGCGCATCAAGAGGCTGGAAACGCATCAAATGGGGATTGGCTGGACCTGAACTGGTTGCCGAGGCAACCATGTATCGGTTTCTCCGGAGAAGGGGCGTGGCCTTCCCAAATCCCGGGTCCTGATTGGGCACAGGAGGAGGCATGGCTACAACTGTGTTGCGTGGATTGGCGGCACAGACTGGGGATATACTCACCTGGCCAAGATTGCAACAGGTAGTGCAGCACCTCGATGTGGCGTTTGAAGTCCACGGCACTGGCGAGCCCTGGGCCGGAGCTGCGGATGCGGGGCCTGGTGGACGCCTGGCGTGCTGGCAGCAGCACCGGCCCGAAGCACACGGCCAGATTCTGCGGGGTCATGCGGTTGTGGGCGTGATATGAGGAGACGAGGCGCAGGTGGTCCAGGAGAAGTGTCAGCGTGGCCTGGAGAGAGGTTTGGGAGGGTATGAGGAGGGGAAAGTTGGGCCCCTGTCGCACCTTTGGGAAACTAAGCCGGTTCAGAGTGGAGAAATTGAGTTTTAAGGGCTCATAGCTGGTAGGTGGTTGAGCTCAGGCTGTCAACCATTAGGTATTAATATTATACTTTTTTGTTGGAAGGGAGACCAAGGCCAAAGGCAGCTAGCTTAGCTTTAGAATGGCAGAGCTTGGGGACCAGGAGATGGCAGAGTGGTTGCAGCACTGGACTCCCACATAACCAACTGCAGTTGGGTCCTGGACCCGGCTGCATGAAAATCACACCAGGTGCATGTGTGTGCATGCTCAAAATCCCAGGAGGATAATGGAGGAGAAGGGATTGCTGCATGGCCATCCCCCAGGGAGGCAATTTCTCACTGCCTGTCTCTGACGAGTGCACACTCCCTATAGCAAAAACCTTAAAAATAACTTTATTAATAAAAAAGAATGGCAGAGTATGGACTCCAATTCACTCCCCTGTTAGGCAGGGCTAGCATGAATCTCATGTTACAGATGAAGGAATTGAGGGCACAGAGAGGGATGGGACTTGTCCAGGATCCCACAGCCAGGAGATTGATGGACCCGTGTTCACAGTCTGTATTCCCGACACGTCTAGGCTGGGGTTCAGTTATCATCTGTGAGGTGGGATGGCACCACTGCAGAGGGGTGTAGTGGTGTCACAAGCCCCATACCCATCGCAGACCCAGACACAGCGGAAGCCCTGTACTGGTATCAGCCCACTCCGTGTCCTGCCTACTCCCACCAGGCCCAACTCACTCTTAGGCAGTTGAGGAGCCCTCGGGTGCCCTCAGGGTTGGGGGGAGCCTTGCTGGGGGGTCCACGGGCCATGGCCTCCAGCACCACCTGATAGAGCGGTTGGGTGATGAGTGGGGTAGGCAGCTCTCGAAGGTAATCCTTGAGGATACCTGTGGACACAGAGTACTCCTGGTCAGGGCATTTCTGGGTTCTGAGGCCAGAGGGGTCAGTCGGGCTGGGAAGAGGGGGAACGAAGTCTCAGAGGGGCCACTGGGCCAGTCTTAAAAGTGAGGGTTGGAGGGACCGGCAGATAGCATAACAGTTATGTAATGGACTCCCACGTGGCTGACCACAGTTTAAATCCCAGACCTAGAGGATTGAAACTCACGCTGGGCACGTGTGCACGCGTGCCCAACATCCTGAGAGGAGAATGGAGGAGAAGGGACTGAGGCGTGGCCATCCCCCCTCCCCGGGAGGTAGGGGTGATTGCCCGCTTGCTGTGAGCCCACGCACCCTAATAGCAAAAATCTCTTTCTCTTTCTAAAAAACCCAAAAAACCAAAAATCTCTTTCTCTTTCTAAAAAAACCATAAAACCAAAAACCAAAAAAAAACAAAGTGAGGGTTAGTGTCAGCAGGGGGTACAGAGGTTAAGACACCTGGATCCCACGTGACCCACTGTGCAGTTTGCATCCTGAACCCGGCTGCTTGAAAAACACGCTGGGTGTGTGTTCATGCATGCCCAAAATCCTGAGAAGAGAAGGGACTGCAGTGTGGCCATCCTCCTGGGGGTGCTTTCTCACTTTCCCTCTCTCCCTGTCTGTCTCTCTCTGTCTCTTTCTCTCTCTGGCGAGGATATGTACCCTATGGCAAAATTAAAAAAAAAAAGGTGAAGTTTGAATGGGGGTGAACGTGAAGGAGGGACGGGGCACTCACCAGTGATGACATTGACATCGGGGTACAGGTCCTCAGAGAGGCAGACGGCCGCGCTGTCCCGCTCAAAGGCATCTCGAAGTTCTTTCTTCACGGCCGCGGAGCCGCACAGTCGGTACAGTCCCACTACCTGGGGGTGGGGACAGAGACAGGATGACTTCTTGTTAGAGCCCCCTGGGGTGGGGGTCGAAGGTCCGGTTTAGGGTGGCAGAGGCCACTGTGGGCTGGGAGGGTGGGGACAGACTGCAGCCTCACTGGTTGCCTTCTCGCTTCTCTGACACCTGTCGCCTGAGTCCCTGTCTGGCTGCCTGGACAACCTGGCCTCATAAAAGCCCTTTGCTGGGGGGAACCAGCAGTTAGCGTCATGGCTACGTCGACTGCGACTCCAGTCCCGGACCCGGTGGCTTAAACTCACGCCGGGCGCGTGTGCGTGCGTGCCCAAGATCCCAAAAGGAGAATGGAGGAGAAGGGATTGCGGCGTGGCCATACCCCCTGGGGGGGGATTTCTCTGTCTCTCTCTGCCTGTCTGGTGAGTGCACGCACCCTATAGTGAAAACCTCTCAAAAAAAAAAAAAAAAAAAAGTCCTTTGCTGGGGGCCAGCCGGTGGCGTGGTGGTTGAAGCACTGGATTAACATGGTGGACCACAGTTCAAGTCCTGGACCTGGAGGTCTACTTTCTCACTTTCCCTCTCTTTCTCTCTTGTCTGTCTCTGTCTGGTGAGTACATGTGCCATACAGCAAATTAAAATAATAATAATAATAATAATAATAAAATCTTCTGCTTGCATCTCTCATCCTGGTTCCCACTTCCTCTGGTGGAGGAAACTCTTGAGTCCTCCTCCGAGAAGCCCTCCCTGACTACCCTAACCAGGTCGGGTCCTGCTGTCAGCTCTCCTCCTTAACGCTCATCCTGACCACAGTTTCACATCTGGGAGTTATGGATTTGTGTCGTTCCTGGGTCAGAGCACGAACTCCAGGACAGTCCGGGGTGCTGATACTAAACAGATGGGTGACTGATGCATTCTGCACTGGGTGTTCTGATCTGGGTGTGTGTGTGGCGGGGGCTCCTGTTCATCTAGGCTGGGGTTGGAGCTAGGCTCAGAGTGCAGACAGGGACCGCGTATCCTTAGGGAGTGGATCTGAGGTCTCGGGTCCAGTGGGAGCGGGGCAGGGGGCTCACCCGCAGCCCTCGGCGCTCGATCTGCCCAACGCACTTCTGGATGATGAGAGGCACCTGCCCGGGGGACCGCTCCCGCTCCACCAGCAGCGTCAAGGGCAGCCCGAAGACGCGGGGCTCCGCGGTGGCAGGTGCTTCGTGCTGCTCAGACAGCGTCAGCTTGGCATAGAGCAGCCCCTGGGGCTCAAGACGCACCGCCAGCTGCTGGGCCTGACACCCTGGGGACACAAAGGGACCCGAGTCAGGTACTCTGACCACCCTTAACTGCAAGTCATCATCCCCACCTGGAGTCCAGCCCGCTGGGTATCGCACGCAGAGGGAGGAGCCCTGGGCCCCGCCCTTCCGCCCGGAAGCCTGGCGTCCTACCTCGGAAGACGGTGGGGAGCAGCACCGAGCCCTGAGCGCACGGCCGGTGCCGCCTCACGCCAGGATCCCACGCTAGCACCAGGGCCCGCAGGACCTGCGCGTTCTCCAGCTCCAGATGGAAGGTGTGATCTAGCCGCAGGAAGTCCGGTCCCCCTCGGAGTGGCCCTGTCCGCGCCCGGGCCACTCCATCCACTTGCAGCAAACAGCAGAGGTCTCTCGGGCTGGCCCCGGGCGCTGGCCGCAGCCCCCCCAGTCCATATAAGTGCAGGCTGAGGCGGCCCCAGAGTGCAGCTGGGGATGCCCGGGCTGCTGGGCCCACCTCGTAGGGCTGGAAGGCGGTGGGCGACGGGGGTCCCCCTGGGCGCTCAGGAGAGTCACCGTCACTGAGGTACCCAGCCCTTGGGTTCCGAGCGCCCCCGGACACCGCTGCCCGCCCCGGGGCCCCCACGCTACTGTCCAGATGGTAACGACTGATGACAGAGCCCGCCGGGGCAGCCCTCTCCCGCTCCCGGCCAGCCCGGGGCCCTCGCAGGCTCAGGCGACGCCGCAGTTCCGGCAGCTTCTTCATCTTCATGGAGAGGCGTCTGGCGGGGCCTGGGGACTTGGTGCGGGAGGTTTTGGTCGGGGGGCTGGAGGGAGCTGCACCTGGAGGAAAGCAGGCCTCAGGGTCCAGGAACGTGGGCTTGGGGTGGGAGCATGAGGTTCAACTCACCCTGGGGCAGGGCAGCAGGTATGGCTCTTGGGCTTACCTTGGGGGGCTGAGTTCTCTGGCTCTGCAGAGACTGGCTGCAGCCCCGAGGGCTCAGGTGCTGGGAGTCTGGGGTCTTCCTCCGGGATGGGGTTGTACCAGATCTCCCCGGCCGGCTCACCACTGCTAGATGTCCCTGGTCCCAAAGGGGCTTCCTCAGGTGGCTTGGCCCCGCTCAGCACCCATCGGCGGCTGCTGGGTTCCAGGCTTTGCAGATAGGCACCCCTCGCAGGGCTCCTTGACTCCTCAGGGCTCGGGGGACCCTCCGCTCCAGCCTGGGACCTTTCAGGGGCCTGGGGCTCTGGCTCTGGAGGGCTGGGCTCTGGGCGCTGGGCTGGGCGGCCTGAGGGAGAACAAGGGTTGTGAGACCCAGGTTCCTACCATCCTGCAGGGGCTGGGGCCTGGGGTCCACTGATCAATAAGATGATCAATAAAGGAGAGGGTGGGGGCAGCGGGAGCCAGTGGCCAGACCCTTGACACATCACTGCCCTTCAGGGGCCTGCTGTTTGTTGGAATGGGTGGCCACAGGCCAGCAATTTTTTTTTTTTTTTTTTTTTTGGTTTTGCTATAAGGCATTCATTGGAGAGAGAGAAAGAGACAGAAGGTGAAAAAGCACCCCCAGGGGGATGGCCACATCGCAATCCGTTCTTTCATTCTCTGAATTTTGAGCATGCACGTACATGCGGTTGGTGTGTTTTTTCAAGCCCTTAGGTCCAGGGCTTGAACCACCCAAGTTGGCCATGTGGGATCCAGCTACCTGAACTACCACACCAGGGCCTGCACAAGTCAGCAATTTAAAAAAAAAAATTTTTTGGAGAGGTTTTTGCTATAGGGCACATGCCCTCGCCAGAGAGACAGAGAGACAGAAAGCGAGACATCACCTCCCAGGGGGGATGGCCATGCCGCAATCCTTTCTCCTCCATTCTCCTCTCGGGATTCTGGGCACACACGCACATGCACCCAGCGTGAATTTAAGCCACCAGGTCCGGGACTCGAACCGCGGTCGACTACATGGGAGTCCAGCGACATAGCCATTCTGCCAACTGCTGGTCCTAACAGGCCAGTAATTTTATTGGTTGCCAGCTTAGGGCCCACCCCCTCTCCATCTCTGGCATGGAGGACTCTGACCATCCACCCGCCAGCCTCAGGGGCCCTCAGGCCCTGTGCGTCCATGGGGCTCCAATTCCCCACTGGTCTTATAAACTCTGGCATGGAACCCTGTGTCTGTCATTTGTCACGGAGTGACGGGTAAGTCACTTCCATCCTCTGCACCTCCATGTCTTCCTGTGAACCGGGGAAGACGAGGGAGACCCCTTCTTCCCCAGGCAGGCTTCAGGGGGCCTGGAGCGGGAAGCCCCTTCCTGTGGCTGTCAAGCCTGCATCTCAGGAGTCACTGCAGGGTCGGGACTCCGTAACAGGCACAAAAGCAAACGCTGAGTTCTCTGTTCCCAGCAACACCTAACCCTTGTCACCACCTTCCTCCGGCTTTCAAACTCTGCCCCTATCTTGGGCCGGGCTCTGTCCCTCAGCCCAGGCACCCCCCCCCCCCCCCCCAGACAGTGCCTTGGGGTTTTCCCTGCTCTCCCAAGTCTTTGACATTCTAGGCTGCTTCCTGTGTGTGTTTGTGTCTGGGCACCCGTCCCTCTTCTGTCCCTGGGAACCTTGGGAATCTTTGGAAAGGACTCGGGAGAGGGAAGAGGGGGGGTCAGGATCATGGAGCTGCCTGGCTTCCTTCTTTTAATTCCTTCCGGATCTCGCCTCCCCTTCCCAATCCCATGTCCAACTCCCGCTTTCTCTACGGCCCTGTCTCGTTTGCAGGTTGAATCCCTCCTCTGGTCCCCTCGGATGTCCACCCCATAGGACCCTATCCTGGTGGTCTCTGCTGGTGGTAGCCTAGTTCAAAGAGCCAAGTCATTTCATTGGTCCAGGGAGAATGACTCGCCTGCCCCCTGCCTCCGTTTCCCCATCTGTATAAAAGGGAGACGTTTCTTAGGGCTGCAAGAAGCCTGGCGCAGCTGCAGTCCCTGGCCAGGAGGTGGAAGGGAGGGTGGCCGTGGTGGACGCATCACCCCGGTTGCTCTCTGCAGGGGTGGCTCCTCATCTCCCATCCTGCACCTCCAGGGCTCCCAGCGCCCCCAGCCCAGCCTGGCAGGGCCCCAGTGTCCCCGGCTTCCCAACCCCTCCTCCCCGCCACCCTCCAGGCGCTCCTTCGCGGCCCCATTTCCTGTCAGGGGCGAGGGCCCCTCCCCGGCCGCCCCTCCCCG